TGGTGAAGCGGATTTGCTATATTACTGTGCATTTTAAAAGCATTTTGAGAAATGAGAAGTGAGTCTGGATCTCCTGTGCTGCATTAAAGCTTACTGTCCAAATGAATGCACGGCTCAGACAAACTGTACGTTACTAATGTGTGTATGTTATTCCTTCATGAATACATTGCTCAGTGAGTAAATGAGAATCAAACAACAAGTCAAAAAAACATTAATATTGAAAAAGATGTTTACAAGAAATAAAAACAAATGCAATAAATTGCCATGAGCAAAAACAAATGGTGAAAACCAAGCATATCTCAAATCTGTTGTCTACAGACTTCTGCAAACTTTGAAGGAAAGGCATCTGTAGTTTGTGTGCCTAACATAGGCTCAGACAAACTGTACGTTACTAATGTGTGTATGTTATTCCTTCATGAATACATTGCTCAGTGAGTAAATGAGAATCAAACAACAAGTCAAAAAAACATTAATATTGAAAAAGATGTTTACAAGAAATAAAAACAAATGCAATAAATTGCCATGAGCAAAAACAAATGGTGAAAACCAAGCATATCTCAAATCTGTTGTCTGCAGACTTGTGCAAACTTTGAAGGAAAGGCATCTGTAGTATGTGTGCCTAACATATTCAATGAAGAAAACGCAACACACACTAGGATAAGATACACACACTATCTAACACCACAGACGCGGCACTAAGATATAGCACCTGAAACATACAGGTCACACAAACAAAGCATGAAATCATGTCTTAAGCAAAAGTACTAGTCAAACCTAAGAAAGAAGATTAGATAAATGAAGGGCTACTGAGGAATGTGAGCAGGGATAGATATATGGTTGAGCAAAGGTAAGACTTAGATGATTATAAAAGAAGATGTGAATAAGAAAGCCAGTTCATTTTTGGATTCAACTTTTAATTAGTAGACAAACTCCTTGTGTGTGTAAACATACTTGCAAAGTATACAGAGCCAAAGACTCCAGTATTCCAGCAGACTTCATAAGAATCCTTGCTTCATAGGAAGACCTGCCTGGAACTACTTTAGCTGAGAAATAACTGCACACCTTAGAATATTAACCAACCGATCAAAATGAAGCCCGAGCCAGTAGTATAACAATCATTTACTTTTTAGCTGATGCTTTTACCCCAAGCAGCTGATTTAACACATTCTATGGTACACAGTTAATGAGTACCAGAGTTCCCTGGACTCTTGTGTTGTTAGTGTCATACAGTACGGAAAATGCCAGTGAAGGAACGCATACAAACAAGAGTAGTCGCAGCAGTGAAGGTAGGAGAGTGCTGGACTTTCGGTTTGCCCCGCCACTCGCTTGAAGATGTTCAGGCTAGAGCCCTGCACGGGCCTTAAATACATGACGTTCAGGCCCTAGCCCGGCCCTTGTCTGACAGCTTATCAGAATTACCGACCCGAGTCCGTCTCCCAAAACAGCTTATACTACTGCTTCAGCTATGAAAGTAGTTCAGTTTTGTATGTAATGGCAAAGTGATATTTCCTTTCATTTTTTTATTAAGTTAATTTAGAGAAACGTTTGGAGCATTTTTTTGTTCGTTAAATATAAGTTTTTGTTTTTTAAAGTAACGACCAAGAGGGCAGCGGCAGACAGTGAGTTGATCATAGTCTGTTTGATTGATTTTGCCTTCTCAAATCATCACGACTTGCCTAAAATAAAATCTATAGATATTAGGGATGTAACGATATTATCAATTTCGTGGTATCACGATATCAAAATTGTCTTGATATTATCATGGTCACATGACGATATGAAACGATAAGTCTTCCAGGCAAAAAGTGTAGTTTTTTCAGCCCAGTGGAGCAGCGCGGAGGGAAGTGGGAACTACAATTCCCATCATACCCATCGCTCTGCTGCCTCTAACGTTACAGATCCAGTAGAGAGAAACTGGCGGACGCTGCTATTGGCGAAGGAGAAGAGAGAGATTGGGAAATTGTGGACCCGTGGCTGTCTGATGTTCTCAGCGAGCATCATTCTAAGCTCAGGGCTGCTGAAAGGGTGTGGCGCAAATAAAAAAATAATACTGACCTTAATGTGTATCAGTCACTCCTCTCTTCCTTCTCTGCTAATGTCTCCACTGCTAAAAGGACATACTACCATAACAAAATTAACAATTCGTCTAACTCTCGCATGCTCTTTAAAAAATGTTCCTCTCTCCTTTGTCCTCCTCCTCCCCCTCCTTCAACCTGCTCGCATCTCAGCTTGTCTAACAGACATTTCTTGCTGGATGACGGACCATCACCTTCAACTCAACCTTGAAGACAGAACTGCTTGTGGTTCCAGCAAACCCATCGTTTCATCAGAATTTCACCATCCAGTTATTCACATCAACCATAACTCCTTCAAAACAGCCAGAAACCTTGGAGTTTTTGCTTTATTCAACATCAAGAAGATCAGGCCCTTTCTTTTGGAACATGCTTCACAACTCCTTGTTCAAGCTCTTGTTCTGTCCAGGCTGGACTATTGTAATGCTCTCTTGGCAGGTCTTCCAGCCAGTTCTATCAAACCTTTACAATTAATCCAGAACGCGGCAAGGCATTAATGTTTGTCTACAAAACCACCACTGGCTCTGCATCCCTTTACCTAAATTCATTACTTCAGACTTATGTGCCTCTAGAAGCAAGTGAACGTCGTTTTATTGTGCCATCCCAAAGAGGCACAACATCACTTTCACTGACTTTTAAATTAAATGTTCCCTCCTGGTGGAATGACCTGCCCTGACCAACTCAATCCCAGCAGCTGAGTCCTTAGCCATCTTCAAGAATCGGCTAAAAACACATATCAACACAAACATTTTTATTTGACCCTCTAACTCTCTATTCTAATTAAAGTTTTTCAAGTTTGAATTTTTCAAATTCAAGTAATTCTATTCTTTATTTTAAAAAACGTGCCCCTTTTAGATGCAACCATAATCAAGTTTAAACTGTGTCATGTTAGCAGTTTGCATTTTATGCAGGAGTGAATATTAAGCATTTTAGCATCTGTGTTTATACAGCTGGAGCAAAATGCAGTTTAGAGCATATGTAATCGTTCTGAGGACACGCCGATAATAACGGACATGAAACAGGTTAAATAAAGCATTCTTGTGTATGCATTCAACGGGGGTTCGCCATATACATCGGCGATTATCCCAGTGTTCACGTTAGTTTTTTCTAAGGTCGATGTTTTCATTGTGATGAGTGTGTGGTTGATTTCAGCTGCACGCAGCATCAGAAGCACGCGCTTATCGCAGTCATATCAATGACAGACGCTGAAGATCACTATCTACAGCTGTAACAGTTAGTTCTGAGTGAAATGCATTATGGGTAGTGTAGTTCGGAAAAATGTGCTCTTGTGACGTGTGCCCTCACTGTGCTGTGTAATTCAGAAAACGGAGAAAGACCGTTTATATTCTGCTTTTATTTCAGTTCATTCAGGTCAGTCCACCCAGGGTGCACTGTAACTTTTATCTGCACGAGAGAGTAAAATGACATGCATCGGCTAACTTTGTCTTTTTTTTAAACATTTTTCGTGTTTGCCACATCATTAACAATCAGGTGATTTTATTCGTACTCATTTAAATGACATTTAGTTTTGATATGGTCAAAAGAACAACATGGAGGTAGCATAACGTAACACAACACTCAATAGCTCACTCTACATTTAGTCATTTAGCAGATGCTTTTATCAAAAGCGACTTACAAATGAGGACAATGGAAGCAATCAAAATCAACAAAAGAGCATATATAGCCATAGACCTACAGCCATTCTCCGTGGTGGACTGCGAAGGTTTTAGGAGTTTATCAAACACGCTCGAGCCAAAATATAAAATCCCATCACGGCCATACTTTAGTCAAACGATATTACCAGCTCTCTACAAAGAGACAAGGGCTAAAGTTGTACAGAGCCTAAAACAAGCGGAGTGCATTTTACTCACCACAGATGGGTGGACTTCACAAGCTACTCAGAGTTATGTTATTATCACAGCACATGTTATGACAAGTGAATGGGAGATGAAAAGTTTTGTCCTACAGACACAGGCTCTCTTCGAGTCACACACTGGACACAACATAGGCGAGGTGTTAGCTAGACATGACAAATAACAACAATCACCCGGGCATCGCTGTTGTTTCTGACAACGCGAGAAACACTGGTGTAGCGGTGAAAGAGGCTGGTCTTTCCCCACACATAAAGTGTTTCACTCACAGCTTAAACTTGCATCCCAGGCAGGTTTGAATGTAAACTCACTTGACATGATTGAGCGCTACCTGGAGCAACAACAGGCAGTCGCTGCAGCGTTTTTAAGTCAGACGCAATGCTCGTGAAATAGACTCTCTAGACACAGCCGACATTGCAGGTGCTGAAGACATCGTAAAACTTCTCAAACCATTGAAAAAAGCAACCACTGTGCTGTGATGAATCTTGACCAACAGTCTCTCTCATCATGCCCCTCAAACACATGCTACAAGAGAGCATGGTACAGTGTGATGGAGACTCAGTCACCATCTCTCAAATGAAGACAGCCATAATGAACGACTTGGCAGACCGATATCAAGGGGAGCAAGCAGAGTTTGTGCAGGAGAGCAGTGCGTTGGACCCTCGGTTCCGGGCCCTGCCCCACCTGAATGACAGTGAAAGGGAGGTTTTCAACAGGCTGAAGTTGAAGCAACACAGAAGCAAAACCGGGTATTTATTTGAAATTATTTTGTATATGTGAATTGTTTAGACAGTACACAATATTTAAAATATATTCCTTGTGTGTGTGTCTAACATTTCCGTTTTTTCTACCTCTTCTTGCTTCTGCAGAACCCTAGTGAAGGGGAAAAGCAGCACCGGGCAGCCCTTAACATGTAGCTGGACAGCTGGAGTCTGAAATTAACCTGCCACAACAAGAACATGCAGCTGTGGGGGGTGACTCTCCTCCATCTAAAAAGACTGCTCTTGAAGATCTCCTTGGGGGTTCCTTTAGTCAGGTGGACAGCAGAAGACAGCCCATGGCTGAGATTGAAGCAGACATTGACTCGTACCGCAAAGAGACCTCTATCTCACTTTTCGCTTGTCCTCTCGATTGGTGGAGAAGCAACTCACATCATTACCCACTGCTGTCAACCTTGGCCAAGTCATATCTCTCTGTCCCAGCAACCTCAGTCCCAAGTGAGAGGGGTTTTTTGACAGCAGAGGAAATTGTAAATGACCAGAGATCCCAGCTTCTACCCGAAAATGTTGATATGCTCATTTTCCTAAAAAAAAAAACCTGTCTCAGAGTGCGTGAGCGAGTCAGTGAGTAAATGAGTGAATGAGGTGAGTGGGCGAATGTGTGAGTGAATCAGTGAGTGAGCTGACATACTTATTCAGCTCTAGGTCCAGCTGCAATAAGTAGGCTGCTATTTTTATTTTTACTGGGTTGTTTTTGTTTTCTAGAATTGACCCATCTCAAAGCCCACCCTCTTGTCTTGACCGTTCATTCACAATTGTTGCTTTCCTAGCACAACAAAGCAACAGCGTGTGATTGGAGGCAAAAGAAAAGAGGCCTTAAAATAGGTCAATTGAGGGAGTGACTCACAATCCTCAAAACCCGATTGTCTGAGGTAGTTAGGTAGTAGCATAGAGAATGTTAGAAAGAATAATGATGTTACCTGTTACCTCATACCATACCTCATACCTCTATGCAACAGTTATGATTAGAGGATAAAGAAAAGAGGACAGGATATGATGTGGTTAATTTGTTCATCATTGTAATGTTCAATCACTGTTAATAAACACTTATGGCACTTTTTTCCAAGTCTTTGTCTTTTTTTTTAATTATTTATTTAAATATCGCAATAAACATCTTATCGTGGACTGAATATCGTGATATTATTGTATCGTGAGATTTTGATATCATTACATCCCTATTACATAGTATTACAGATAGTCAATCTAAAATGGTGACTGTGCAATAACAGCTGTCAATCAGCTCGGTATGCAAATGAGTGGTCCGAACTTATTTTGGGCGCACGTTCAGCATGTTGTTGGCTTTTGAGAATGGACAGATGCTTTCAGTCTTGTGCTAGCTTGCTAGTTTTCTGTAAAGTGGAGGCGGGGACATCTCGACCTGCTTAAATGGAGCTCTAAATGTTATAGCCTGTAGTTGTGTGAGTACCTTTCATTGAGTTGAATGTAAATGCAAATTCAAGGCTATTTCCAGTTTATTATTCTAACTTCACAAATGTGGTTCTGCATCTTAGGGGGACTCGAAGCATGACACAAACATCTTCTGTCTGGCTGTGTTACTGAGCAGCACTCTGGTCTACAACAGTCGAGGGACGATCGACAACAGGGCTGTAGAGGAGCTGCAGTATCCTTCTGAACATTTATCTAGATTTTAATTAATTAATTTATTAATTAATTTATTTATTTGTTTATTTGCAAAAGAAAGAGATTGTTCAGATGTTTACCACCATTTCACCCAGGAAAAACATGTGCAAATGTGCTTGCTTTGTGAATGCTTTATATCAAAAATATATTTTTATATTTACATGTACTACAATGTAAAAACATAACTGGCAGAAGTTAATTAATTTTAACTGCAATATTCCATTATGCAGTTTTTGGCAGCTAAACCCTCTTCTATCTCTAAACCTAACAATTTCTTTAAAGTATACACAATATAAAGAAAAAACATGATAGACAGGCAAGTGTAAGCACAATAACTTATTCCAAAAATGACAACAAGCAGTACCAAAGTAGTCCAATCAAAGTTTAATTTGAAGTGCTGTCTGGTGCTGTACAACAGTATAGAGTGGTGTATAGAGTAGTGTTGCACGATATACTGGTACTAAAAAGGTATCGCAATACCCTGCTTTTAAAAACAGTATGATTCCTCATTTTACCAGTACCGGTTCTTTAAGAATGACAGCAGTTTAATAAGAGCCGTATTTCCTGAGTTGTGTCGACATGCAGCACCAGGGCAGAGTGTGTACAGCGCTCTGCTTCTCTCCCTGCAGGCACACTGGCCATGCCAACTTTATATATCCACACAACGCAGAACTGCCTAACTGTACTGACAAGACAAGAAACATGCATGAATAAGAAAATAAATCACGGGATGTGTTTGATGTTAAAAAGAGATATTAAGCGCAATAAAACTTGGAAAAAAAAATCAATAAAAGTACAGTGTGCACACACAGAAAGCCACCTCTCTTAGACAGCAATAGAATCGTGATTTCAGATCTCGTAATTGTAGTAGTATTTAGTATTTCAACAGTCAAATACACACACAGTTATGTGAAAATGACTGTCTTGGCTTAGAAAGCTGAGAAAGAAAACGTGTGTGTATCTATAGATCCATGCAGCTCATAAAGTGACAGCAGACTTATATTCGCAGCTCTTAAAGTGACAGCAGACTTATATTCCTGCCGCTGCCTGTATCAATAATGTTAATCAAACAACAACAGAAAAAGAGAAAATCACTCACTGATCTTGACTGACTAAATTTTGTAGCTTTATTAAGTATCAATGTATGAACGTTTAATTCATACAGTGAAGATATGCAGTTTGGTTATATTCCCCACCACGAGCTCATGCCGTCAAATATAAGTCAAATGAGAGTGATTTATTTTGTGACACATGAACTTTTTCACCATCTTTGTTTGATGGGGCAATTGAGATCAGTAATAACCTTCTAATTTGGCTTTATCCTTTTAACTGTGCAATGTTGCAGAGATCTATATTTAACTGTAGACTCAGTTGTATCATAGACAGATAGTTGCTTACCACAGTGTGGTCGCACTGGCATGAGATTATTTATTTATTTAAAGAGGGAGGAAATGCTCAAAAAGCAGGGCAGGCACACACTTCAGAAATAAGTAAGCTCTTTTTTGGCCAGGAGCCAAAGGGTCTGTGGTAATGAAGGGTGTTTTCTGATGTTTACTGATGATATCTTCCAAGGTTAACATGTAAAGCGTGAAAAGCAGTGGTCCTAGTACTGAGCCTTGTGGTACTCCATACTGTACTTGTGATCGATATGATAACTCTTCATTCACTGCTACGAATGGATGATGTCAGATAAGTACGATTTGAACCATGCCAATGCAATTCCACTAATGCCAACATAATTTTGTAGTCTACTTAAAGGAGTGTTGTGGTCGATAGTATCAAGCGCAGCGCTAAGATCCAGTAGCACTAATAGAGAGCTACAACCACGATTAGACGATAAGAGCAGGTCATTTGTAGCTCTGATGAGAGCAGTCTCAGTACTATGATACGGTCTAAATCCTGACTGTAAATCCTCACAGATACCATTTTTCTCAAAGAAGGAACATAGTTGTGAGGATACTACCTTTTTTAGTATATTTGACAGAAATGGGAGATTCAAGATAAGTCTCTAATTAACTAATATTCTTCAGGGTAAAGTTGTTGTTGTTGTTGTTTTTTAAAGAGAGGCTTAATAACAGCCAGTTTGAAGGTTTTTGGGACATATCCTAATGACATTGACAAATTAATAATATTCAGAAGAGGATCTATGACTTCTGGAAGCACCTCTTTTAGTAGCCTAGATAATATTGGGTCTAACATACATGTCGTTGGTTTAGATTATTTAACAAGTTTATACAATTCTTCCTCTCCTATAGCAGAGAATGAGTGGAATTGTTCCTCAGGGGATCTATAGAGCATTTATCTGATGCAATAGTATCATTATCTGATAGTGATAGCATCAGTTGGGAAATGTCTGCGCCTGCTGATGGTTTATTTTTTGTTAATTTAGCCACTCTATTAAATAAATGCCTGGGGTTGTGTTTGTTTTCTTTTAAAAGCGATGAAAAGTCAGCAGCTCTAGCAGTTTTTGAGGCTTTTCTGTAGGAGGAAGTATTTTCCCTCATTGCAATATGAAATGCTTCTAGTTTTGTTTACTTGTTTTCACCATTTTCCAGGCTGCTCTCTTTAGGGCATGAGTGTGCTTGTTATACTAATGTGTCGGAATGTTTTCCTTAATCTTTTTTAAGCGTAACGCAGGAATATTATTTACAAAGTATTTTGTCATAGAAGTGATGGTTCTACCATATTTGTAACAAGGAGTTGAGTTTTTAGCTATATGGATTATGCACAAGACTAGAGAATGATCTGAGATATCAATGCTCTGCTGCAGAATTTCAGTGCCATTAATATCAATTCCATGTGACAGTATTAAATCTAGAGTATGATTATGACAGGTCCTCACATGTTTTGTCAATAGAGTTTAGAATGTCTGTAAATGCTGATCCCAATGCATATTTTTTATTATCTATATGGATATTATATTACACTAGATGATATTATATGAAGCACCATCACTTCAAATGAATTGAACTTGAAATCAGACCTTTGACAAATATGGAAAATATTGCTATAAATTGTAGCAACACCTTCCCCTTTACTATTTGGACGCAGCTCATATCAGTAATCTTGAGGGGTAAAATCGTTTCAAGTAATGTAATCACCTGGTGTTAGACCGTTTCTGTCAAACAGAGCATATCTAGGTTATGATCCCTGATCGTATCATTTACAAAAAGCACTTTCATAGAATTCATTAAGCCAAGGTTTTTCATTTGTTTATCTGTCTTATATATGTTTTGTATTTGTTGAACATCAATTAAATTATTGCCCTTAAATTGGTTTGGGCATTTTTTGTATTTGCTAGTTCAGGGAACAGACACAGTCTCTATAGTATGATATCTAGGTGAAGGGTTCTCTATGTATATTTACATTTCCTGGAACCAGAGGACCACAGTGTCCTCATACTGCCTGCATTTAAACCGAGATTGCTGATCCATCATACAGGCAACCAAAGATATGTCAATATTTTTCAAAAGTGACAAACCATTGGCAATATACGTAATTTGTGTATTTGGAAAACAAAATAGGTGACAAGACACAGCCTTGTGGGACCCCAGTATTTACAATGATGCTACTAGTTTTAAAACCATTAACTGAGTGTGGACACTGTTCCTGAACTGATACCTGAGCTCTCTCCATCATCGTGTTGAGCCTCTGCCACGCTGCCCTTGCATTTCCCTGGTGAACCTCTCCTCCATCTTATCTTTATAACAGTGCTTGGCAAGCTTGGTTTTAGTATCGCATTATTGTCTGATATTAACATATGCACCAGATATGTAAGCGTGTTAACATCGCAGCTGTTTAAGAGACAGCATTATTATAGTTGTCTGCAATGCGTTCAGCTGCAAGAGCATTATCAGGACCAGAGATACAATCATGGTCACTTGTGTGAACTCACAAGGTAAATAGCGAGGACATAATGGCACAGTCATAATTTCATGGGTCATGCGAATTGTAAAATCAGTTGCCTATTTATCATTTACAGCAAAGCAAACCTGTTGTGTAAAATTTCGAAAACTACCCAAGTGACGTTAAATTCTATTTTTGTGCAAAAACAATGAAACAAATGAAATAATACAAATATACAGCAGTATTACATAAATAAAACAATTAAATGTTTAAACAATTACAGAAATTCTATTCACTGTAGGATTTTAAGGTGTAGTCTTGTTTAAAATTATGTAATACTTTTGTTATACATAATTATGTAAAATTGGCACCAGAAGTCACAAAGAACAGAATGAAATATTATAATTAATAAATCACTCAACTGCGTTCAATACAATTGAAAACATAATCTCACTGATCATAAATACGACAGAATCATCCAATAAATTCCATAAGGCACTTCCATTCATAAGGATTTGTAAATGTATACATCTGTAAAGTTATTCATTCATAAATTATGTTTTAGATCTGGGGTCGGCAACCTTTTCGGCATGACATGCCATTTTTAATTTTTCTGGTTAACCACTGTGCCAGCCCACTCCCCACCCCACCACCCTCTTTTTTAATGCATTCTGTATTTATACAGTACATACACATTTTTAAATGATACAGTAAAAAAAAACAATAGGCCTATTTTATTTTCATGCAAATAGTTTCTGAAGATTTTTTCATAAACTGTTTTTTAAACCTTTCAAAAGTTTCTTGAATAACAGATATACGACCGTACTGAACACCACTGTATGTGTGTGTGTGACAAGGCCAATGCATTAAAACTGTTCAGTGTAATCACTGTTCTATATTAATGCGCTGCTTTAATTGATGCGCGCGCACACACACACACACACTACTCGCACATTGATCTGAGATCGCGTTGTGCAAAAAGTAACATTCAGAAGCTCATAAACTTGTCAGCGCTGCCACACGACTTTTATTACTCGATACTGAATAGCTACATTATATTTCTCAGCAACGAGGGGGGTAAAATCGCTGTTTTTTAAGTAACTAAACTCAGCTTCATTGATTGTAGAGAGAGACACAGACGCAGACAATTTAGCCTACACATCTCTCTCTCTCTCAGCCTAATGGCCATATTTGAGAAAAAATCGAGTAGTTTGCATCACTGGATATAGCTGTCGGTCATTTAACATTTCTATCGTAAAGGGTATCGTTAAAAGTTGACTAATATTAAATGATTTGCAGCTTCATCTTACCTCGCTCTCTTTAACGTTAAACTGACGCTTCGCGCTCTGCTTATGTGAACAGTAAACCCCGCCTACTTTGATTTGATTGGCCATCTCAGTCATTTTGACATTGACGAGCGCTGTTAGACCGCTGAGGCTTTGATCTGAAGTGCCTAGTATGTGCAGCGGTCGCGTGCGCATCCGTTGACTGGCGCAAGTTAATTCTCACACTTTAATAGTATTTATAGCTCCTAACAGGCTGTGTGACCATGAGAAGTTATTACCTCAAAATGTACGTCAGTATGCAGTTTTCCCTATTGCTGGCATGCCAGCGATTATCCCTCTGCGTGCCACTAGGCACGTTTCCATTACAGATTTGCGCAAAACTTTGGCGATATTTTATAAATGTCGATAAAAAAGTATTGCGAAATGACGGCGTTTCCATTAACCAATGTTATGAGACTTAAACGTAACCTTTTGCCTCTCGCGATAAGTCATGGCAATGTATTTTGGTGGGATTTTGACGGATTTTGGCAATATTTATTCAAAGGAGGCTTATGCGTGTATCTTTACAGAAGCAGCAAAGAGAGCCGCTTCAGAAACGTGCGTGGCGTGGCTGGAATAAACCATAGCCTGTATAAAAACATAAACACAAGCATCGAGTGGCCGTAATCAGCTTCAGTGACCGTTTCAGAGCCACACTGCACCGCAGACGTGTGCAGTGTAAATTGTCTAAGCATTAATGGTAGGAAAAGCCCCTTATACTGGAGCGCGGCCACTTGTGAAGTGTTTCTTGGAGGTTATGGTACGTTGAAGAATGATCATATGACTTTTTACATACGCCATGTGACCTGTAAATGCGAAAAAAAACGTGTCCATTGCAGTTTAGCGAATTATTCCTTTTTCGCATTGCCTGAAAAACCACCTCATGCGAGCGTAAAAACTTTTTTGCGATATATGGGCGTTTTTGCGAAATTGACGCGTTTCCATTAGGCGTATTTTCAATTCGCAATTTCAATTTGCACAATTTGAAGGGTAATGGAAACGCGCCTACTGTTGGCACGCGTACTGTAGGTTGCCGACCCCTGTTTTAGATGCTGTTAAATCAATATTATACATTTTATTGTCTATGTAAATGTACATGGTAGAACTACACCGTATTTTCAATTCGCAATTTCATTTTGCACAATTTGAAGGGTAATGGAAACGCGCCTACTGTTGGCACGCGTACTGTAGGTTGCCGACCCCTGTTTTAGATGCTGTTAAATCAATATTATACATTTTATTGTCTATGTAAATGTACATGGTAGAACCACGCTTAATGTAAAATACACACAAATACTAATGGAATCATGTTGGACAGTCACTTTGTGTTCATACCTAAACAAACTGTCAGATATGTTACTGAACTAACAGAGTGCATCAAGGTCAAATCATCAGACGAGGATGTTGATGATTCAAATGAGTTTGTGAAGTTCTTCCCTAGTTTCATCTGGGCAGTGAGGGACTTCACCCTGGAGCGAAAGATTGATGGCAAAGATGCAACAGAGAATGATTATCTAGAGTTTGCTCTGAAGCTGAAACATGGTAATTTAAGTATGGTACAAAAGATTATTTTAAGAGCCCTCACAATCACGATCACAATGAGCTCTTGTAATGAGTTTTTCCAAACTTAATGGTTTATCAACAGATCTTTCTTAAACTTACATCACTTATTCTGGTTCTATTTAAGATCCAAGTTTTTGGTGTACTGCATTTTGTTTAAATTGACTTATCTAAAAAAAGATAAAGATATCAATTTCAAATCAGTTTTTTCTGCTACTGAAAATGATAGCATAGGATGCAACTTTGCAATATGTCTAAAGTAAAAGAAAAATGAAGTCTTAACTGTATGTTTCACATGGGGGTAAAATGTCAAAAAAAGAATCCAAGATCACCCAAAGATTCAGTTTTATTTGAAACTCTTTTACAGAGCCATTAATAGTTAGAGGTACTGAGCCAGTGTTATATGTCTTATCACTGTTTAGACAAAGAACATTGTTACCCATCTATGGTTTTTGTCAGAAATACATTTAAAATAAATGAATCAGCCAGACTTACAAGTCAGATGTACCTAAAAATAGTGGAGGCTACCATTCAAGGTGCCATAACCCAACCATCAGGAGCAAGTGATGTTCAGTGTCTTGCCAAAGAACACTTCATCAGTTGGTTTGGTGAAACTGGGATTTAAGCTGGGAATCCTCTCCTAGTCAACATATCTACTCCCTGAACCAGTGTTGTTCATCCACAGCAGATAGTGTTCTCCCTGTTCCAACTCTAGATCAGTGGTTCTCAATTCCAGTCCTTGCGACCCCCTGCTCTGCACATTTTGTATGCATCTCTTACACTTTAGATATTTGTTCTATTCGACCGTAAGTGCTTTGTAAAGTGGACATCACAGGATATTTCACCAAGATTCCCCTTGGAAGGGAGCGCATACATTCCATTTAAAGGGCATTAAAGCGTGTGAGATGTGATATGTCACTTCTCTAGTAAGTTTTATCTGTGTGTGAAGACACTGCAGGCCGCTGCGTAGAGCAAATCCGTGAACGAATGTTCCGAAGTGAAGTAAACTTCAATGGATTTCCCATGCTCAGGGAGTAGGGGGCAATCAACACTGTGTAGGGACCATGTCAATCAGAACACAATTCATTTATTAAGCTCTCTTACAATGAGCTGGTTATCTGAATTAGGTGTGTTAAATAAGGGAGACATGCAAAATATGCAGAGCGGTGGTACGCGAGGACTGGAATTAGGAACCACGGCTCTAGATCAGGGGTGCCAAAACTCCTGGAGGGCCACTGTCTTGCAGAGTTTAGCTCCAACTTGCCTCAACACACCTGTCTGGAAGTTTCTAGTGTGCCTAGTAAGACCTTGATTAGATGGTGCAGATGTGTTTAAATGGGGTTGGAGCTAATCTCGGCAGAACACTGGCCCTCCAGGAGCAGGACTGGATACCTAGATAATAGCATACATTTATAATACACTGTGGATGGAAAGGGTTCAAAGTGGAGAAAAAAATGTCCAGTGACAATGTGACCCAGAAGAGTAGCTGAATCAACTACACTCTGCTCAAAGGACAGACACACTTTTTTTAACTTTACAAAACTCTAGAACTGAGAAAAGCTACAGCTTGTGTTAAAGGGGTCATATGATGCTATTTTAAAGATCATTAGTAGCTGAATCAACTACACTCTGCTCAAAGGACAGACACACTTTTTTTTAACTTTACAAAACTCTAGAACTGAGAAAAGCTACAGCTTGTGTTCATCTCTTCTAGGAACATCAAAAAAAGTGATGGAGTACAACCTTCCCAGGGAGTGCATCCAAAAATTCTTCCCCTCCAGGACGTGCTTCATGTTCTCGTTTCCAACCGCCCCAGAGAATGTGTCTCGTCTGGAGAGATTGGATCCTGCTGACCTTTCCACTGAGTTCCTGGAGGTTACAGGACGTTTCTGCAAGTTTGTCTTTGACAAGAGTCATGTGAAGAAGCTGAAGGATGGATACACAGTCACTGGCAGAGGTGATTCAGAAGGACATTTGAAGAGCTTGCATATGTGCTTTCAGTGGAATTTCTATTGCTCAATCATTTTGTTTGACTTCTTTCCTTCTTTGAAAGTTCTGGGTCATCTAGCAAAAACATACGTTGACACCATCTCTAGTGGGGCTGTGCCGTGTCTGGAGAATGCTGTGATCGCCATGGCAATGATTGAGAATCAAGCTGCGGTGAAGGAGGGGCTTGAGGTGTACCAGAGTGGAATGGAGAAGCTGAAGAACTCCTTCCCTCTGGAGTTAAAGCTTGTGTCCTCGGAACACCAACGTCTCAGTGGCATGGCAACACAAACCTTCATGACTCGATCTTTCAGGGACACTGACGGGAAGCACCTGAAATCTCTAGAGGTTAGCTGGATCTCTCTCTGAGGAGGTCCTTTGAGCTTACTGATAGAGAGATGTTCTTTCAGAGTAGTGAATGAGATCTGGACATTCTCCCTGATTCCATCTTCTCGTATATACCATTCTGTGCTGACAGTGTTATTCCAAATAAACAAATCAGACCAAATAGCAAGCCCTAAGTCATCAAAGAACTGAAACACTGTCTGTATGTTTTTTTTAGGAAAAAGTTAATGAACTCTTTGATGGATACCTGTGCCAAAATGAGCAAGCTTCTAAGAAAAGATGCGAGGATCTTCTGTCATCCCTCTCAGCAACAATGACTAAAAAACTCAAAGAGGGCGTCTATGCTAAATCTGGTGGCTATGATCTCTTCTGCAAGGATCTGGAGGACATTTTGAAGAAATACAACAGTCAGACCAATAAAGAAGTCAAGGTCTTGTCTATCTTGCACAACCTAATGACATTTTAAAACATTTTGTTATGATATAGCTTCTAAGGTCTGTGTGTGTCAACAGGCTGAAGCGGTCTTAAAGGTGTTTCTGAAGCAGAAGTCTGTGGATTCTAAAGCTATTCTGCAGGCTGACAAAAAACTGACTGAGAAGGAAAAAAAGATTAACGGTAAGAGTTCCGCATTCTTAAATTCTGACCAGGTTACTTGTGAAAGAAGTGCTCAAAGGTTTAGGTGCTTGTTTAGGTGATAAGCTTCAAATGCAATAAATAGCACTAACAAGTAGCAATAAATGGTAGAAGGAGTTTCAAGGGTCCAAGAATAATTTTGCTTTCAGAGAACAGGTAACATCATACAGATAACAACTGCAGTCCCGGGTTTAGATTTCAGGAGGCTATTCATGCCATTATCATTATGAATCAAGAACGTCTTGGTTACGTATGTAACCCTCGTTCCCTGAAGGTCTCCGTTCCCTCCTTCAGGGAACAAGGGTTACATACGTAACCGAGACGTTCCGTTTCAGTCGGTCACTCTCGATGTCACGTCGGTGATGACCGACGAATTGGGATCCCTACTAACACGCCACAGGTGCTGCCCCCTCCAGTGCCCTGTGTAGCCTTCCTGATCCTTCATATAAGGCAGACGATAGGACCGGGTTCTACACAGAGAAGGTCGACTACAGTTGTTCCTCGTAACCCAACAGTAGGACTTGGATACACTGGGAAAGTGTGCTCTACAAATGTCTGCTAGCGAGGCACCATGAGCCAGCGCCCAGGATGATGCGACACCCCTGGTGGAGTGAGCATGCAGCCTGAGCGGGCAGGGCACACCTTGTGCTTCATAGGCCAAGGTGATGGCATCCACTATCCAGTGGGCCATCCTCTTCTTGGAGCCAGCTTTCCCCTTCTGCTGTCCACCGTAACAGACAAAGAGCTGTTCTGAGGTCCTAAAACTCTGAGTTCTATCCACGTACGGCCGCAGTGTGCGTACAGGACAGAGCAAAGCTAGGGCTGGGTCTGCCTCCTCCAGGGGCAGCGCTAGCAGGTTCACTACCTGGTCCCTGAAGGGAGTAGTAGGAACCTTGGGCACGTAGCCGGGCCGGGGTCTCAGTGTTGCACTGGAATCAGCCGGCCCAAACTCAAGGCACGATTTGTTGACCGAAAATGCCTGCAGGTCCCCCACCCTCTTGATCGAGGTCAATGCAGTCAGGAGTAGGGTCTTCATAGAAAGAAACTTCAACTCAACTGACTGCAAAGGCTCGAAGGGGGGCAGTTTGTAGGGCTTTTAGCACCAATGCCAAATCCCAAGAGGGTAGGGAGGGAGGCCTAGGAGGATTTAACCTCCTGGCCCCCCTAAGAAACCTGACGACCAGATCATGCTTCCCCCCACCGACCTCCTCTCTTTGGGGTCGTGCTGGGCCGAAATAGCAGCAAAGTAAACCTTATTAATGGTGGAGGGGGACAGCCTACGCTCCAAACCTTGCTGCAAGAAGGGTAGCATGGCTCTGATCGAACATCTCCGGGGGTCCTCCCGGTGGGAGGAACACCATTCGACGAACAGGTTCCACTTCAGCGCATAGGCCTGTCTCCTGGACGGAGCACGCGCTGAAGCGATAGTGAGAGCTGCCTCGTGGGGTAGGTCACTTAGAATCTCTGTGTCCCATCCAGGGACCACACATGGAGTTTCCACAGGTCTGGACGCGGGTTCCAAGGGGTGCCCCGTCTCTGAGAAAGCAGATCCTTCCTCAGAGGAATTGGCCAGGGAGGGGCTGTCGCGAGGAGCATAAGTTCCGGGAACCAGGTCCTGTTGGGCCAATATGGAGCCACTAAC